TGCAGGGTTGGGGACCTGGGCTCCCCACCTCCCAGGGTGCTCGACAGGAGCCCCGATCCCACCCCTTCTCCAAGGGGACTTACCGAGATGGGCCCAGAGAACATGTCAGAACTGGGACCAGTCAAGGTCAAGCTCTTATAGGCAGGGAGGGGAGAGAGGGCCCCTGGGGGACAAAGCCCCGACTCAGCAATGAGCCCTCGAAACAAAAGCCAGCGCTGGCCACAGCCCCAGTGAGAGGTGTCAGCAGCTCTGGGTTCAGCTGGGAGGGGACAGATCAGGTCACCTCCCCCAGAGACGGGCATGGGGAAGGGGAGCCGTGCAAGGTGTGCCTGAATCAGCCCCACGGGGCCCCTGAGCGGGGCAGGAGTCCAAGCAACTGGCCGAGGAGCCCCAAAGCATGGCCAGCTGTGTGACCTTGAGTAGGTCATTTCCCCTCCAGTTGTAGCTATAAAATGGGATGGAAATAAACTCCATCTGCGGGCCATGAGGCTGCGCACCTTCTTGCCCGGTGCCCTGTAAGCATTGATGGATGTCTGTTCCTTTCCCCTTCCCATCCGTGTTTGACTTCCAGTGGAGCAATCAGGGCAGGCTGCGTGTTGGAGGTGGCATTCTGGGAAGCGTAGAGAGGATTCGCACAGGGTCAGATGGAAAGAGGGGCATGAGAGCTGGCGTACAAAGGTGGGAACTTAGAGCTGGTGGCCCAGCACAGAGGTCCCAGAGGGAGTGAGCGAGGCCGAGGTCTGGCCAGAGCCCCAGACGACTCTACAGGCAGGAGCCAGGAGCCGATGGTTATGAACATGCTCCACAGGCGTAGCACCTGCCGCACCCAGGGGGCAGAACTCCCCGCGGACATCCCCCCCCACACCCTGCCTTCTACCTCCCAGAGAGGGAGGAAAGAGCGTGGCTGGGAATGACGTCACTCAGGGTGAAACCCAGGCCTGCTCTTGCCATCTGGACCCCCTAGAGGATACCTGAGCCCTGCTGGGGCCCGCAGAATGGCAACATCCACCGCTTCCTGGAGGGGTTAAAGCAACCCCATCCTACGCATTACTTGGAGGAAAGAAAAATAAAAGTTAAGACTGCAGGCTCAGCGGGGCGCAGTGGGGGCTCACCAGTGATTCCAAGGGCTCCGGAGGCTGAGGCAGGAGGATCGTAAGTTCAAGGCCAGCCTCAGCCACTTATCAAGGCCCTGTCTCTAAATAAAATATAATATAAAAAAGGTCTGGGGATGTGGCTCGGTGGTTAAGTGCCCCTGGGTTCAATCCCCAGCACAAAAAAAAAAAAAAAAAAAAAGACTGCAACCTCGTGTTCTTTGTGCATAAAATGAGTGCAACAGGTTGAAGGGGTGTCGCCTGAGAGGGGTGTGGTGAGGATACAGTTCTTGTGTGAATCACTGGTGCACAGCATGTGTCACTCCCACCATCTTTGTCATCGTCATCACTAATAGTAAAGGTGCTTATTAAATAATTACCCGTGAAGAGCAGGAGCACTTAGCTTCTGAGAGCTCAGAGGCTGGCAATCCGAGAGGCCAGCTGGGATCCCTCAGGGGGCGGGGAAGCAGGTGCGTGGTGGACAGGGGTCGCCTCCATTTCCCGTCTGTCCGTCCATGGGGTCCATCCCAGAGACTCCGCCCTCCTAGTGAGGATGACAGGCACCCAGGCTGTGGAAGGCCCAGAGTGGAGGTGCCCAGCAAGGCCACTGTCCCTTGTCCCCGCCCCCGCCCTCTGGGATGGCACCTGGCCAAGGGGGCATGGAACTCCTCGAGACGGCCTGGCCAGCAGCGCGGACCTGTGGGTGGCCCCACCGCGTCTCTCTGCTGCGGTCCAGCGGCTGTCCCCTCTGTGGTTCCGCCTCGGCCACCCCGGCCTTGGCCACCCTGGCCTTGGCCCGCAATGAAAGGCTGCGGAGTGGGGGAGGGGGCAGGGGCTGCGGCGGCAGAGCTGGCCCCAGGCCAGGGCCACCCTGGACCCCCAGAGAAGCGGCAGCACCGTGTGGAGACCCGATACGCCACCCACCCCACCCTGGCTGGACAGCTCTCCTGCCCCTCTGACCCCCGCGGAGAGAGTGCACATGGCAGGAAGAACACCCAGCCTCTTGCTCCAGGCCTGCCTCAGTTTCTCCACTTGGGAATGAGGGAGTTAGGCCACTCGGCTTCTGTCACCGGCCACCCTGTTGGGAGTCTTTGCTGCCCTACTTGAATCGGGGCCCTTTGTCTCTCAGTCCCCTCGTGTCCCTGGCTAGTGTTCTTCACTCTTCCCTCTCCTGATCTGGGTCCCCCCACTTGGCACCCCACTTTCATCATGGTCCATTCCAACAACCGTTCAGTCACCAAATCTTGACACAGAGCCCTCTGCAGGCCAGGCCCCACAGCAGGTGCCAGAGGTGACCAGCATGTGGCTAAACCTGGGGCTTCTCGGATGGAGGCGTAGGCCACCAGCTCTGTCCCTGGCATCTGAGGGTTGAGACCCGGGGTTCACAGAGGCAGGCCAGGAAAGGAGGGGTCTCTATGTGGGCAGAAGAGCAGGAGGCAGTCCCCAACGTCCAGCCTACCTGAGCCCAACAAGGCCTGGCTTCCCACCTAGGATCAGGAAGTCAGGCTGCAGCTGAGGCCAAGGCCAAGGTCACGGTCAGACAGCGAGAGCACCAGGCCCAGCGGCTGCCTGCACTGGCCTGGGCTCCCCGCCTGGCTTTCCTCGTCTTTGAAATGGTGGGATGGAAGGGCCCGGTGAGGCAGGTTGTCCTGGAGACTGGCACAGGGGACAGCGGCCAAGCACTGAGCACCGTGCTTAGCACAGGGAAGGCTCCGGGCAGTGCACCGGCCTGTGCTCAATGTCACAGGCCTTCTGCTGGGTGCAGCTCCATTAAGGACACTGGTGCTCACCCGTGACCGCAGACACGGAGGCCCCTGAGGACAGACTGTCCCCAAACCACGCAGAGCATCATGGCTGAGCCAGGACGCTCACCCAGGTCTCCTGCTGCCAGGGTCTCTCCTGTTCCCTGGCCCCGGGGACGGCCGTGGGGACCTGGGGGCCCATCCCTGGTGGGGGCCGTGGACAAGGAGGTGGAGAGCTGCGGACCAGGGTTTCTGCTGTGCGCTCGGGGTCACAATGGAAAGTGCTGGTCTCTGCAGTGACCCGGGCAGGGCTGGCCCCGGCCAGGCCCCGCTCCGGCTGCTGAGCCAGCTCCCGCTTTGTGCCCCAGACTATAGGGCCCAGCGTCTGCCAGATTATAAAATGGGGGGTCGGCCCTAGTCACCCACAGCACACGCCTGTCCTCCACCAGGAAGTGGCAAGTCCCCAGGTAAGAAGGAAGCCACCAAGAGCTGAGGGGAGGGGACGAGGGGAGGCCGGAGAGCCGCGGGTGGCTCCGAGGGCCAGGCGGGACCACCAAGATGAGAGAGGGGACGAGTCAGAGGGGGAAGAGACACAGAACTCGTGAGCAGAGAGTGACAAGAAAGGCAGGGGGCTGGGCAGACAGACCAAGAGGGAAGGGAGCGCAGGGAGAGACAGACAGGACAGACAGACAGAAGGACAGGAGAGAGGGGGAGAAGCAAAGATGGAGACCAACGGCAAGAAACAGGAAGAGAGAAGGAGGAGGAGAGGGAGGCAGAATGGAAACGCGGACAGGAAAGGAGGAATCCAGCCCCGGGGGAGGGGAGCTTGCCACAGAACGGGGGCAGGGAGGGCTGCGAGTCCCAGATGTGGCCCAGATGTCTGTCCCGCAGCGTGGCCGAGCGTCCCAGAGTGGCCACAGTCTTCCTGGCGGCGGGGAGGCTGGGGAGGGACCTACCCACCCCCCACAGAGAGCCCAGCAAGCGGCTGGACCCCAGGGTCTTCTGTGCCCTCGGGGGTCCTTCAATCACCTGCAAAATTGAAGGGAGCACCCCCTCCCTGCCTCCTCAGGGACCGTCAAGGCCTCTGTCACAGACTCAAAAGAGTCCATGTCCCCCTGCCGTGAGGAACCACTGGAATTAACCAAAGCCCTCCCCACCCAGCGCCTCCCCAGCCACGTCCTCGTTTTAGAACCCTGGACGGGCACCATCCTTCCTCTTGGGCCTCTGGGGCCCAGGGCCAGGCCGGCTTTGGCACCCACACACCTGCCCCAGAGAACGCCAAGGGAGAAGCCTGGGGGGGGACACGGGAGCCCCCGTCCTCTGAGCAGATGTTCACTAGGAATGTCCCGTGTGCTGGGCACAGAGCCGAGCGGGGAAGAGAGGGGGACTAGAGCAGAGCGGGCGAAGGGCAGGGCGTGAGCAGCCCAGGGCCAGGTCCAGCTGCTCGAGTTGAAAGTGGAGCCCTCCTGCCTCGTGGCCCCGGGCAGGGCACCTTCCTCTGTGGCCTCAGAGAAGGATCCTGGATTCTCCAGGGGGAATGGGGCGTGTGCCTGGGATTCCTTAAGAATCCCCAGATGCCATTTCTCCTTCTCTTCCTCTGGTGAGGTGAACTGAGATTGCACACGCAAATAAGTGTGCTAAGTGTGTGAGGATCTGCGGGGGGCCAGTGAGGCTGGAAGGGAGGCCGATAGAGGGAAGGGCATGGCCAGTGGAGGGGACAGCCTGGTCGAAGGCCTGGAGGAAAGATGCAGGACAGGTAGGGAGCCCAGGCGGGAAAGGCTTGGCTGGGGAATAGCCAATGGGCCACCGGGTGCAGTGGGCCCAGCAGCTCAGGAGGCTGAGGCAGGAGGATCTCGAGTTCAAAGCCAGCCTCAGCCAAAGCAAGGCCCTAAGCAACTCAGTGAGACCCTGTCTCTAAATAAAACACAGAACAGGGCTGGGGGTAGGGCTCAGTGGTCGAGGGCCCCTGAGTTCAATCCCTGGTACCAAAAAAAGGGGGAGGGACAAAAAAAACTCCGAGGCGCACGTTTCCAAGGAGAAAGAGAGGCAACGGGTTCAAAGGTGGCTGAAGACACAGCGAGGGGTAGGAGCGTGGGAGACAGCTTGGGGTGCCACACCTGGATTTGTGGAGGCCAAAGCATGCTCTCTGGGTTTTGCAGGAGGAGCCATGTCTCAGCCCACCAAGGCCTCGGCCACCGCCGCCGTGAACCCAGGGCCCGATGGCAAGGGGAAGGGGACCCCGCCCACAGGACCAGCCCCCGGCCCTGGTCCGGCCCTGGCCCCGGCAACCGTGCCCGTGCCCGTGCCCACGGCCAAAGCAGGGGACCTGCCTCCTGGGAGCTACAGGGTAAGGACCCGGCTGGGCTGGCCGGCTCGGTGCCCCCGCTGTCCCCTTCCTGTGCGGCCCTCCTCCCCGCTCCTCTCTCCTCCTCATTTCCCTCCTTACCCCTCTCCTTTCCCCTGTTCCTGTTTCCCGCCCTTCCTGTCCCTCCTCCGTCTCTCCTGCGGCGCCTCCTCCTGCCCAGACACAAATGTGCCCCATCTAGAGGCCAGGAAAATGGTCAGGGGTCTCAGTGCACCTGGAAAGAAGGGACCCATCGAGGCGCTGTGACATGACAACTGAAATGTGCCACGTCCCCCGACAGGGACCATGGCCGTGCGGTCAGCCTGCACAGAGCCCGCTCAGAGCGAGTCAAAAGCCACGAGCAGAAAAGGGAGAGGGGCCTGTCCCTGGAGAGTCACCCGGGCAGCAGGGGGCCTCCTGGAGATGGGTCCTGGGGAGCCTGGATTTGGTTTGGACCTGGGGGCCAGAGCTGACCACCCTTGATTCATGATATGGCTGACCGTTATTTATGTAGGTTTATTCAATCATTAATTTTACTTTATTTGTTTGTTTGTTTGTTTTTGTGCCAGAGATTGAACCCAGGGGCTCTTAACCACTGAGCCACACCCCAGCCCTTTTCATGTTTCATTAGAGACAGGATCTGTCTGAGTTTCTTAGGGCCTCGCTAAGTTGCTGAGGCTGCCCTCGAACTTGCGATCCTCCTGCCTCAGCCTCCTGAGCCGCGGGGATGACAGGCGTGCGCCCCTGCGTGCGCCCAGCTTACTTTATTTTTAACAATGCAGCAAGCACCTGCAAGCCCACCACTCATGTGCAGGCCAGGGCTTGGTGGAAAGTCTCTACCTGACCTAAGGTTATTTTCTTATATTTTAATACATTGTTCCTTTAAAAATATGGCTTGCTTTTCATTTACTCAAATCTGAAGTATGTGATTCTCTGCGTTTTCTTTTTTCTTGTCACTTACTGTGAGATCCCTAGGGTTGAGCATCTCTGCAATTGTCCCTTTGGGTCTGCTGTATGACATGACTGTCACCCTCCTGCCAAGAACCCCACACCTGGTTGGCCCCCAGTCTTGTTCGGAAACAAAGCGGCTGGGAGGTGCTGTTTGCTTGTTTGTTTTGAGACAAGGTCTCACTGTGCTGCCCGGGCTGGCCTCAAACTCCTGGGCTCCTGTGATCCTCCCTGCTCAGCCTCCAGAGTAGCTGGGACCACAGGGACACACCACCGTCCAGTCTTGGCTGGGGTGCTCTAATCCCTGACTCCCTGGGCTCTAACTCAGACCTTGTCATGGACGGACCAGCCTGGAAGTGGAAGTGCTGGTCAAGGCAGCGGGAGCCCCTTTCTTTTACAGCTGGGGACTCAGGGGCTCAAGAAGGCAGGAAGCTGCCTGTGCTCAAGTGAAAGGCAACACCTTCCCGAAGCGGGTTGGTGAGCGCATGACAAACCCAAAGGTGGGGCTCAGTGAGGAGAAGTCAGATCGAGTTCTCGCCGGGGTTGTAGAGGGGAGCCTGGCCAGCATTTCCTATATCCGGGGCTGCAGATAGAGAAACAGATCAGGATGGGCACAGTGGCACACATCTGTCATCCCAGCAGCTTGGGAGGCTGAGGCAAGAGGATCGTGGGTTTGAGGCCAGCCTTTGCACCTTAGCAAGACTCTGTCTCAAAATTAAAACAAAACAAAATTTTAAAAGAAAAAAAAATTGGGGATATAGCTCAGTGGTAAAGCCCTCCTGGGTTCAATCCCCAGGACCAAAAGGAAAAAGAGACAGATCAGCCCAGACCTTTGGCAGAAGGGCCCTTGGCCGTTGGAAGAGTTGGGTAAAGGGGACAAGGATGAAGAGAGGGAGAGAGACACAGAGAGACCCAAACCCCAAGCAGCAGTGACTGGGCAGTGTTGTTACTGGTGCTGCTAAGGGGCGAGCACAGGGGCAGACACTGGAGCCCCAACTCCGGGGTGGAGGAGGAGCAATCCAGGAAGGCTTCCTGCAGGAAGCGACATCTGAACCCAGAACATGCTGTCTGGTCCAGAACCTGAGTCAGCACCAGGTAGGTGCTCCAGGATGGGGGGTGTGGTAGAGAGCATCCCAGGCTGGAGGAACACACCAAGAAAGTTCTGGAAGGGAGGCCCAGGCGTGCCTAATGATGGTGCAGATCTTAAGTGGGGGTGGGTGCGGGAAGACAGGGTCATCTCACGAAGCATGGCTCCTGACGCTGTCCTGGGCCTCGTGCACACCCTGCTCCGATATGACCACCACCTGCCTCCGTCCAGGTGGGTTGGTTTGAACCTCACGCTGCCCCCTTCCCTCTTGCAGCTGGTGGTCTTTGAGCAGGAGAACTTCCAGGGCCGTCGGGTGGAGTTCTCCGGGGAGTGCCTGAACCTGGGGGACCGTGGCTTTGAAAGAGTTCGCAGCCTCATCGTTGCCTCTGGACCGTGAGTGTGGGCAGGGTGGGGACGCTCCCTCTGCCGTCTGTGGTCACAGATCGATGACATGATAAGAGCACGTTCTCCAGGCTCCCGCTCTGGGCCTGGCCCCTGCTACTGCCCCCTCTGATTTCCCACCCTCCCTGCAAACCTCAGGAGGAGACAAGCTTTTCCTTCCCATTTGACAGACGAGGAAACTGAGGCTCAGAGAGGTGCTCTGATTAGTATAAGGTCACACTGAGGGTGAGTCACGTCTGGGTTCCAAAGTCTGTTTCTACTGCAGAAGGAATTGGAGCCTATTCTGAGGGCAGGAGGAGGCCAAGAATCAAGTGTCCACTACTGTCCCCTTGCAGGGGCATCAGGCTGCCCTGGGAATAATAATAAGCACCAGCAGAGTATCCAGTAGGTCTCAGGCACTGCGGGAGGGCTTTACCTTGCTGGCCGCCCGTTGTAGTATGACAGAAGAGCGGTTCTTTTAGGCGGAAGGGGTACCAGGAATTGAACCCAGGGGCACTTGACCACTGAGCCCCATCCCCAGCCCTATTCTGTATTTTATTTAGAGACAGGGTCTCCCTGAGTTGCTGAGGCCTCACTAAGTTTCTGAGGCTGGATTTGAACTCATGATCCTCCTGCCTCAGCCTCCCCAGCCGCTGGGATGGCAGGCGGGCACCACCGTGCCCAACCAGAAGAGCTATTCTTATCCTCACTTAAACTGGGGCTCCCAAGGGCTCAGGGCATTGGCCAAGGCCACCAGGTCGGCGTTTGACTCAGGTTGGTCCATCCTTCGTCAGGTCCCCCTGCCTGTTCTCACTCTGGCTTCTCTGGGCCTTGATGACCCCCACGGACAGCAGAAATGCCCGTCTCTCTGACGGACTGGCTCTCCCAGCGCCAGCTGCTGTCAGCTGAGGCCAGGGTGCTGGGCCATTCCCAGGACAAATCCCACGCAGCCCCTCTGCTCTGGTTCCCCACTCCAACCCCCCAGGGGGCTTGTTGAGCCTGCATTGAGAGCTTCTGGGAGATGGGTTTTGAGGTCAGACTCGTCCAACTCTGTCCTTGGCCTTGTGTGGCCTCTGCGCCTCATTGCTGAGTTAGGGGGAGTCATGAGCCCACCTCGCCCTGCCTGGGTCATTCTTGGGCCTGGAGGAGGAGATGCGGACCGGGGCCAGCACTGTGTGGGCATCCAGACATGGCGGCCCGTCCCCACCCCTGGCCCTGGGAGCTCCCCCAAGCCCAGGTAGGTGGCTGCAGGGAGGCGGGTGGGGGGGCAAGAGTGCCTCCTGTGCCCACCCCACCCCCACTGTGGTCAACAGCCTCAGCCCCACCCCGGCCCCCAAGCCCAGCTGGGAACAGAAACTGCCGGATGTGGCCAGCTTGGGGTTTCAGGCTGCTTTGGGGGCTGTGACTCAAACGCAGAGTATTTCACCTCAGAGACAGAGCTGGTGTCTGCTCTGTGCCCAGGGCTGTGCCCAAAGGGGACAGACATGGCCCTGTGGTCCACAGGGCTGGGTTGGGGCCAGCATGCCTGTGGGAGAAAAGGAAGGAAGGAGATGGAGTGGCCGGGGGAGGGAAGGCGTGCCTGCCTGAGATCTGACCCCGCCGTGTGACCTTACGCTAAAGATGTGGCCCCTGAGCCTCCATTTCCCTGTCAGTGAACTAAGATTCCCAGCCCTTCCTCTGCTGGCTCAAAGAAGCCATAGTGGATGAGAAGAGGCATTGACGTAGCTATTTAACATTTCCCATTCTTGCCGGGCGCAATGGTGCAGGCCTGTAATCCCAACGACTCTGGAGGCTGAGGCAGGAGGATTGAAAGTTCGAGGCCAGCCTTAGAAACTTAGCAAGGCCCTAAGTAACTTAGTGAGGCCCTGTCTCAAAATAAAAAGTAAAAAAAACCATCCATTCACCCATCCATCTATCCATCCACCCATCCATCTATTTATCCATCTACCCATCCACCCATCCATCATCCATCTATCCATCCATCATCCACCCATCCAGTGGTTAGGTACCCCTGGGTTCAATCCCTGGCACCAAAACAAAAACATAAACAAAAACTCCTCATTCTTCTAACAAGGCCTCCCCGGGGGATGTGGGGGAGGGTGAGCAGTGTGGCAGCACCACACGGTGTTGATCTCTCCTTAAGCTCAGACCTGCGGCCGCTTCCCTTCTCTCTTAATCATAAATGATGCTATTTATTATGACTACTCTGTCGGATCTTTCACACACGCCATTCAGGAGCTCACATCCTGACAAGGTAGTGACAAGATTTTCTTTCTTTTACTGCCCAAATGACAAGCAAGTCAGCGGTCAGCTGAGTCCAGTGAAGTTGCCCAGGCTGGCCTGAAACGGGTGATCCTCCTGCTTCAAAAGGGCTGGGGATGTAGCCCAGTGGTAGAACACCCCAGGTTCAGTCCCCAGAACTGAAAAAGAAGGGGGTGAAAAACATGAGCTGGGATTACAACCCAGGTCTGTTTCCAGATTCTCTGTTCTTTTAAAGGTTTTTTTTTTTTTTTTTTTAGTTGTAGGTAGACACCTTTATTTCATTTATTTATTTATTTTTATGGGGTGCTGAGGATCGAACCCAGGGCCTCACGCGTGCCAGGTGAGTGCTCTACCGCTGAGCCACGACCCCAGCCCCTGATCTTATATTCTTAACACTGACAAGCACCTTCTTCTAAGCCTCCCTCCCTTTCAGCCCATGCATCCAGCCAGACGTATAGTCTCCATCCATTTCCCTTCTCACTCTTCTTTGCATATACCTATAGATCAGTCCGTGTAGCCCTCAGCCCATTATCTAGCCATTCTCTGTCATCCACTTGTCTATTCATCCATCCATCCATGCGTTCATCCACCCAATCTGTCTACCCATACACCCATCCATCATCTATCTATCTATCCATTCATTCATCCATCCATCCACCCATTCACCCATCCATCTATCCATCATCCATTCATCCTCCACCCATCCATTCACCCATCCATCTATCCATCCACCCATCCATCTATTTATCCATCTACCCATCCATCCATCTATCCATCCACCCATCCATCATCCATCTATCCATCCATCATCCACCCATCCATCCATCATCCATACATCCATGTATCCATTCATCATTCATTCATCCATCAGCCATTCATTCACCCATCCATCTATCCATCCACCCATCAATCTATTTATCCATCTATCCACCTACCCATCCATCATCCATCTATCCATCCATCATCCACCCATCCATCCATTTATCCATCATCCATACATCCATGTATCCATTCATCATCCATTCATCCATCACCCATCCATTATCCATTCATCTATCCATCCATCCATCCATCCATCCACCCACCCATCCATCCTTCATCCATCATCCATACATCCATCATCCATCCACCCATCATCCATCCATCCACCCACCCATCACCCATCCATCACCTATCTATCATCCATCCATCCATTATCCACCATTCATCATCCATCCATCATCCATCCATCCATCAACCATCTATCATCCATCCATCTATCATCCATCCACCAATCATCCATTCACCCACCCACCCATCACCCATCCTTCACCTATCCATCATCCATCCACCCACCCATCCATTTCCCTTCCACTCCAGACCAGAGCTAGGGCAGATCCAGCATAAGCCCACATTTTCGACTCTTTCCCTTCAGTTTTAGTGGTTCATCCCTCAGATCAGGACCTGAGGGTTGGTCCAAGATGACACATCATCACTGCCATCCTTCTGGGGACAGGAATACTAGCAGCCCCCAGGGAGATGATGCCCCGTGGCCATGCCCCTCAGCCCTCCCTTGTCCCTGGGAACTCCTGAACACTTAAAAACACATAGAAAGGTCCAGCGCCCCTCAGCCTTCTCCTCAGAACCATTGGCCCCTCCAACACAAACTCACCTTCCATCCTAAGTCAGGATGTGCAGAGAGATGGGGAAAGCTCCCACTGGACTTCAGATTCCTAATTAGTCCTCGTAAAGGACAAATGGCATGTCACACGTCACCCTCCTCTCCCACGGCCCCATACCAGCTCCTGGGCATCATTTCCGGGATGCTGGGCCAGTCTCTGTGAAACTCATATCAGTTTTCCTCTTAGTCCTGTGCCTCCGGGGCTATCAGCTATTTAATATGTCTCATTTTAAATGGTTTTGTTGAACACAAATAGATATATTTTAGAAGGACTTTTGAAGCCCTTTTATAAGTGGAAAACTAGTATCACTTATCATAAGTTAAAAAGTATCCATAAAAAAATATCACAAGGAGCAGGAAAGTGTCACTGTGATCCCCTTGCCTGCTCAGGACTGGGCAGGTGACCTGTTTTTCCTTTCTTACAAAAAGAGAGACTGGTGATTGTTAAAGGCTCATTAGCATGAGGGACTTTCTCTTTGCTGTTACCTGGATTTAATGAGATCTCTTTTTGGGATCACTGGGCCCAGGTCCTTGTAATACTCAAAGCGTGTGTGAACCTTACAGTTGCAAAAGGTTTGCTCAGATAATCACACTCGATATCTCATTTCAGCTTTACCAAGTCCTGAAAAATAGGTATTTTAGTGTAGAGGAGGAACAGCCACCTGCCCCTTGTTACAGAGCCTAAGGGGTGTGTCCTAGAATGAACCCAGGCACCCTAGGCCACTGGGATGTCCCTCTTGGCCTCAGGGCTGCTTTGCCAGAGGAGAGGGAGGGCATGGGCTGACCTTTTCTCTGTCCCTCCCCCTCCCACATCCAGCTGGGTGGCCTTCGAGCAGTCCAGCTTCCGTGGGGAGATGTTCATCCTGGAGAAGGGCGAGTACCCTCGCTGGGACACCTGGTCCAGCAGCTACCGGAGTGACCGGCTCATGTCTTTCCGGCCCATCAGGATGGTGAGTGGGCTCCGGCACAGGGGCTGGGGATTCTGTGGCGTGGGTCAGAGGCAAGTCTGAGGTCCCCCTGCGACCTGGCAAGGGAAAGAGAGAAGGAATGGTGGACAGAGAAGCCTGAGGACCCTGGGTTGTCAGACACCCATGGGTTCCTGAGCTCATCCATGTGTCCAGCACCCGGGCACTCACTGTGGGCACCAGGCTTTGTCCCAGGAACCCCAGGCAAACACCACCTCAAAAGCAGGTGTTTTGCCAGGCACAGTGACGCACGCCTGTCATCCCAGAGCTCGGGAGGCTGAGGCAGGAGGATCGAGAGCTCAAGGCCAGCCTCAGCCACAGCAAGGCCCTAAGCAACTCAGTGAGACCCTGTCTCTAAATAAAATACAAACTAGGGCTGGGGGTGGGGCTCAGGGGTGGAGTGCTGCTGGGTTCAATCCTGGTACCCCCAACCCTGCAAAAAGCAGGTGTCTTCCTCATCATGTGGAGATTGGAATCAGCCTCCCAGCGGTGAGAGATAAAGGTTTCAGTGTCTCCCTTGATTTTTGGAGGTGGCATTGTCATATCCTTGATGCCACCTTACACCCTCCTGGGCAGCTCTAAATCCCAGGGCCATCCCCAACGTCCCGTGGACAGTTGTGCCGTGGATAACAAGGGGTGCCTGTGGAAAGGCCACCGGGGCTTCCTGGTAGTCAGCCTCCTGCCGTGGGAGTCGGAGGCGGTAAGTGGAGCCAGCCCACGTGACTGTGGTATTTGCAGAACGCTGAGTCGACAGTGAGTCACCAAACCACCCATCTGCCTCACCGATGGCAGCCCTCTCCAAAGGTAACCGACTTTTGTCTTTCGCGATGGAAAATTCATGAGGAATTTTCATGACTGTGGTTGGCGGCTGCCCGTGTGCGGGGAGCCGCTGTTGGGCACCGCCACACTTACCTTCCCGGAGTCCCAGACACAGCCTCCCCCGACTTCCTCAGCCTCGAGGCTGAATTATCAGCCTTCCTAATGGACTCTTTGTAAGAATTCCTAGGTTTGTCTCCCCGTCATTGAATGGCCTTATATGACCATCTATGCCAGGGAGCTTGTTGGAAGAGGGGTCAGGGCATTTCCAGAAACTTCCAGAAGTCTGCTGGCTGAGGTAGTGGCACTGACATTTGGTGCTGTTAAAACTCAAAAGTTGGCCACTCTGCATGGAGATGTGCTGTCAGGATATCATACAAACCTGGGGTTGAATTTACAGTAAAACATTTTTTTAAAGAGTGTAAGACACGTTAATATTATATGGGTCACCTATTATGATTACAATATTTGTAGATATATTTGTTTACATAAATTATAGTATTAAAAATTATTTTTGGTACCAGGAATTGAACAAAGGTGCTTAATCTCTGAGCCACATCCCCAACCCATTTTTAACTTTTATTTATAGACAGGGTATTCATAAGTTGCTAAAGACCTCACTAAGTTGCTGAGGCTGGCTTTGAACTTGCAATCCTCCTGCCTCAGCCTCTTGAAACCACAGGTGTGCGCCACTGTGCCAGGCTAAAAAAAAAAAATTAAAATTAAAATTAAACTTCAACAGCTCAAACCCACCCAAACCAATTAATTCCAAATCCCTGGCTACTTCGGCCAGGTCCTGTTCTAGGCCCCAGGGGCACAACATCAAGATCATTGTCCCCGTGGTATTCACACTATGCTCAAGAGGCAGCTAGTGGCCAGGTGCAGTGGCACATGCCTATGATCCAAGCAGCTCGGGAGGCTGAGGCAGGAGGATCGCGAGTTCAAAGCCAGCCTCAGCAACTTAGCAAGGCGTTAAGCAACTCAATGAGACCCTATCTCTAAATAAAATGCAAAACAGGGCTGGGATGTGGCTCAGTGCTTCAGTGTCCCTGAGTTCAATCCCTGGTACTGAAAGAGAAGAAAGAGAGGCGGCTGATGGAAACTTAATCAGTCTGTAGTCCCACACCATGGCGAGTGCTGTCCGGGCCACGCAGCCTCATGAGGAAAGTGAAGGGGGGAAGTTGGGGCTCTGATGTTGGGGGCTGGGACTGGTCAGGGAAACTGGCTCCTGAAGGTTGGGACCACATCGGCCACGAGAGGACCGAGTGTCCAGGGGTACTGTGTGCAAGTGGGGTGAACAGGGTGTGGCCGGGACAATAGGAACTGCCCGTGTGGCTGCAGCAGAGAGGGGGTGGCGAGGGGCAGCAGATGGAGGGATTCCAGCAGAGGACCGTCTTGCAGGCTCTGATTGGCCGGGTCTTGAGGGGTCTGTTCTTGGGCTCACCAGCATCAGGGAGCCGTGGGCTGGCTTCACCTTCCTAGGACCCCAGGTCTGTAACAGTGACAGGTAATGGCTGTCACCATAAGGTGGCCACCATGGGCTGGTGACCACACTGCAGGCATTTTTCACCATGGCTCCATGGTGCCGCTGACCCATCCCTGCCTCACACCACACACTCACACAGCGAGCACTTGCCCTTCCACACGCCCACCACGCACATGCGCACCTCCCACCGTCCCCTCTGCTTCTCCTCCGCCTCAGCCTCCTCCTTTTCCACCTCACACACTCTTATATAACCGCCAAGGCCCCCCTCCGATGTTACCCTTGGGTGGGGCCTTCCCTGGCCCCTTTCCTGCCCTCTGGAAGAGGGAACTGACTTCCCTCATCTACAGTCTTTCACGGAGCCTTTCATAGAGAGATGCTCCTGCAGCATGACCTTCTCCCGAGGCCAATAATACTGAATCAGCCCAGCACCCGTTTACTGAGCACCTACTATATGCTGGGTGCTTTGCCTGCCTTTCATGGAGCTCCCACAACAGCCCTCATGTCTGAAAAAACATAGCATAAAAACCAAGGAAAAAGAGGCTCAGAATGAAGGGCTTATGGCCACAGAGCAGGTCAGGGACAAGGCTGGGACTTAAACTCGGCTCTGCAGACATCAGAGACCCTTGAGGTCAGCGCTATTCCTGCTGTTCTTGCCCATCCACCTGGGCAGCAGCTCATCCCTTGGGCCTAGAAGAGCTCTTTTGAAAAGATGGGTGATTGCTGCCCTCAGAAATAACTGGTATGAGGCGGGCGCCGCAGTGCACACCTGTTATCCCAGCAGCTCAGGAGGCTGAGGCAGGAGGATCTTGAGTTCAAAGCCAGCCTCAGCAATAGCAAGGCACTAAGCAACTCAGTGAGACCCTGTCTCTAAATAAAATATAAAAAAGGGCTGGGGTGTGGATCAGGGGTTACGTGCCTGGGTTCAATCCTGGTATCAAAAAAAAAAAAAAAAAGAAATAATAAGTATGCTAAAAAAACAAGATCCAGGGTCATGGAAACACTGATAGGTAGTGGAAGTGAGCACCGAGTCACATGGCCACCGCAGGGATTGGCCTCTGACACTGTTGCTGAGCCCTGAGTTGAGCAGGTACAATTCCCAGTCCCAGCCTGAGAGGACTGTAAGTCCATTCTACAGGTGAACAAACGAGGGCTCCGAAGGGCTGGGTAAAATGCCCAAGGTCCCCAACACATAAATATCAGATGTGGGATTTGAACCCAGACCTGTGTTCCCCTAGTGCCCTCCGTGACTCCAGGGTCAATTCGTAATTCCAGGAACCAGCTGACCAAAGGGCGTTTGACTGAGCTCCTGACGGCGGAGGGACACGGATTTCTCTGAAAGCTTTTGCACTTCACTGGCTGTGTGTCCTTGATCAAGAAAGTTGACCTCTCTGGGCCTCTGGGCCCTGGATCACCATAACAGAAATAACAAATGCATTTTTGAGCATTTAGCGCAAGCCGAGAATCGTGCTCAGTGCTTTGCATGGATGGATTCACGCCACCTTTGTGTTACCCAGTGTCACAGGGGCTGACGGCTCCTTTTCACAGATAAGGCAGGTCCTTCCAGGCCAGGTAGCAGTGCTCTCTGGAGACTCGGTCCTCCCTCTCCACGCCCGGAGGCCCCACTAAAGGTCCCCTCCGCTCCTCCCTACTTCGCGTTGCCGACCCAGCCTCTCCTCCGCAGGACTCCCAAGAGCACAAGATCAGCCTGTTTGAAGGGGCCAACTTCAAGGGCAACACCGTGGAGATCCAGGAGGACGACGTGCCCAGCCTCTGGGTCTACGGCTTCTGTGACCGAGTGGGCAGCGTGAGGGTCTCCAGCGGGACGTAAGCACCTTCTCCGGTCCCCGCCCCAGGCCAGCGCAGAGGGCTCCAGGGCTCCTGGGGAGGCCACTCCCCACCCTGGACTCCCAGGGGGTGCCCCATGGTGCCAGCAGGGCGCTGTTCCCCTGGGGACCCAGGGACTTGAAGGATTCCATGTCGGGTGATTGGTTCTGAAAAGCTGGTGATGGAGAAAGGGACGTTGCTGGATCAGAGGGGGACTAAAGGACTCCTGGGGGGCGGTCAGAGCTGGCGTGGATGCAGGTCAGCCTGGGGGCAGGGCACCGCAGGGAAGCCTGAAGCCCCTCAGAGGGGCAAACCTGTCAGGAGAGGGTCTTGACCCCCATCCAATGTGCTGAGGGTCCCCGTGAGCACCTGTTCCTCTCTGAGCGTCACTCTTGCCCCCTGAACAATGGGTAGACAAGACTTCCATCTAAAAGGGAACTTTCTGCTTCAAAGTCCCAAGTGTTAAAGATTTCCAAGCCAGGCAAGGTGGCACCCGCCTGTCATCCAGGCGGCTCGGGAGGCTGAGGCAGGAGGATCGAAAGTCCAAAGCCAGCCTCAGCAAAAGTGAGGCCCTAAGCAACTTAGAGAGACCCTGTCTCCAAATAAAATACAGAATAGGGCTGGGATGGGGTTCAGGGGTCAAGAGCCCCTGAGTTCAATCCCCATCACTAAAAGAAAAAAAAAAAAGATTTCCAAACAGAGGGCTCCACGAGCCTATGTTCATGAGAACACAGGGAAGGGCCAAGGCCCAGAGAGGTCACCTTCTCCATCTCCCTGCCCTCCAGCCATCAGGCCAGGTGCCCTGGTCTCCTCTGGCAAATGTGAGCCTCCTGTCTCTCCACCTCCAGATTCTTCCCAAGATCCCACAGTCGTCTATGGGAACTTCTTCTTGTTCGTTTCTTTTCCCTGAAAATGGAACCCCGTCTCCCAAGCCACCTGAAATACACTGAGTCTCTCCAGAGAGGGGGGCACTGCGGTAGGACACGGCCCAGGGGACAGGAGCAAAGAAAGCCCGGTTCCTGTCTCGGGAAGCTTACCCTGCCCAGCAGGGGAGACCCCAGGTCCCCGTGAGATGGTGTCCAGAGATGCCAGGAACAGAAGGCTCAGATAAGACACCCGCGCTGCCAGAGGTCAGAGGGGGCAGGACAGTTGTGGGGACCGGGCTGTACGTGCCGCGGGGGAGGGCGGGCAGGGGTTTATGTGCAGAGGCTGAAGCTTTAGCAGACTTGAGAAATGAACAGTGTCCAGGAGAGGCCACAGGCATGATGATGGAAGTCAGGAATGATAATAATAAGTCTTTAGAGTGTTTACCACAGAGTAAGCCCTGGGCCGGCCCCTTTAAATGGGTAGTTATCACATCCTCATCAGCAACCAGTGAGGGAGGTGTGTCTCCACCCCCACCTCCTGCACGGTGCCATCTGCACCTGGATTCTCACAGCCTGTCAATGGCAGAGCTAGGATCTGAGCCCTGGCGCATCTGGATTCCAGAGTGTGTTCCCAGCCTCACTTATGCACAAAGGAAACCCATCTTGTGAAACCAGGCTCTCCCTCTTGTTCAGCTCAATAGCAACCAGTCCCTAAGCCCTAGACACACATATTAATCCCATTCTTCCCTGAGCCCCGGGTTTCCATGTCCAGTGGATGAGTATTAGTCTCCTTACCCCCCACAGGCAATGTGCTTAGCAAACACTGTAGGTGTGGCTTTTCCATCTGACCCCAGAACACACTTCATAAACCAGGCACCAGCAGCCAGATGCCATGGTTATGCCTGTCATCTCAGTGGTTCAGGAGGCTGAGGCAGGAGAATCACAAGTGGGAGGCTGAGGCAGGAGGATCGCAAGTTGGAGGCCAGCCTCGGCAACTTAGACCTTAAGCAACGCAGTGAGACCCTGTCTTAAAAAAAAAAAAAAAAAAAAAGTTGGGGATGTAGCTCAGTAGTAAAGCACCCTTGGGTTCTGTCGCAAGGGGGCAAAATTGCAACATAAGCAGTCGAGGGGAGAAATAAAGAATATCCATGCTTTATTCACTCAAATCACTCTATACAGTTTCACTCTATAGGTTCTTAATCAAGAAAATAACAATCCTTAATGCTGGGCACTGCAATAGACATGATCAATTCACAGCAAACAATTCTAGATTACTTCTAAGCACTGCAAAACACACTTGATCGTGACAGGCTAGTGACAGACATTCCCTCTGTGTGCTAAGTTCAAAAGTCCTAAGCCTTAGGCTTTCCGTCCAGCAGATGGACACTCACTCAGACCGCCGTGATCAGGTCCAGAACCAAGGCAGGCTTTTCCTGGTGTGCAGTGGACGACCCGTTGAGGAGGGGGTCGTAGGGAGGAGTTGCTCTCTCACCAAGGTCCAGACAAGGCGGTAGAGTTTGAGAGCCGTGAGGATCACGCCGAGGCTCAGGAGATGATGACAAGGGATGGGTTGTCAGGTCCTCATCAGGCTCTCCAGCTCCAGTGCATCCTTGTTCTGGCTGGCTGAATCCCTGCTCATTTGCTCTATTATTTATACTAAATTTTAGGGGGTTTTTTGACCCCCCTTTCCATCCTTATCAGCTACCATGGGATTTCCCAGGGACATCATTTACTACCCTGGGGTCAGAAGCATCTGGTCTGGTGGTCACCACCAGGATCTTCTCGCCTTTCCCTCTTCTCAGGCGAGGACAGCCTGCCCGGGGCTTCACTGTCTTCATGGGGGTGAGGGGAAGTGACTTGTGGGAGGCCACCCTGGAGGGCTCTGTGGTGTGCCTGGTGAGACTGCAGGTCAAACTGGAGATTTTAAAATGGAATGGCTTAGGCTCAGGCCTCAGGCCATCCTCGCAGGTTCAATCCCCAGAATCAAAAAATCATAGAGCAATAAACTAGCCACAGGCCACTTTCCGGAGGAGGGAATGGAGGCGAATCAGAGAAGTGAAGACCTTGCTTAAGGGCGCACAGCAGAAAGGGGCGGGGCCAGGTCAGAAGAGCGGCCCCCAGGGCTGAGGGCAGCTGGAGACCGCCGCCGCTCTCCATGCTGCCCCCTGCCTCTTCGCAGCTGGGTCGGCTACCAGTATCCAGGCTACCGCGGATACCAGTACCTCCTGGAGCCCGGCGACTTCCGCCACTGGAACGAGTGGGGCGCCTTCCAGCCGCAGATGCAGGCCGTGCGCCGCCTGCGTGACAGGCAGTGGCACCGCGAGGGCTGCTTCCCGGTGCTGGCCGCCGAGCCCCCCAAGTGAGTCCGCTCTGCATCCCTCCCGCGCCCCCCCGCCCCCGCCCCCCAGCTCATTGTCCCCGTCTTCCCCAGGCAAATAAAAGTTCCTAAAGCCGAACGTCTCCTGAGTCTGTGAGCCCAAGTGTGTTGCAAGGTCCCCCTCGGTTGCTGCACGGTGGCTTCCTCTTAGTCCCAAAATAGAAAGAGCAAATGAGGCAAAGGGGTTTTGTTTGTTTGTTTTTGTGGTACTGGGGATTGGACCCAGGGCTTTGTGCAAGGCAAGTACTCTACCAACTGAGCTATGTCCCCAGCCCCAAGGAAAGTTCTTTCTACACATCATCCTGGTATATCTTTCAGACTACTCTAGGGGGTTGGAGGAGTTAGGATCATTCCATTTCACATGTGAAAAAATTGAGACTCGGAGAGGGGAAGCGACTCGCCCTAGGTCACACAGCTAGCAAGTCTAGACTTGAAGCCAGGCACGAAATCTGTGTTTGCAAACTCTCGGATCTTTCGTGCACCACCTCCTTGTTTTATTGTATTTTATTCCATCGGAATACCACCTGGTCTGTTATGTACTCAGAATTCTTATTTACACAGACTAACTGTGTTGTACCTAAATGCACCGGTTCGTAAATAAAACTTTAGAGCACTCCAGGTAGTAGACCATCAGTATCCGATACCAGAGATAGAAAGCAATCCTATAAATAAATCAAATACAATTTAAAGAAGAACTGAGTTCTCAGCAGACACCACTGCCCACCCAAGCCTCTGAGCCGGTGCCCTACTTGCTCCCTGGATTAGCAAGCATCAGAGAAGAATTCGAAAGACACTCGCCCACCCCACGCCCCCCCCCCGCCCCCGCCTGATTCAATCAATGAAGATCCAACATTGTGTTTGTGTGTCTGTTTGGTGTTGTTGAATCCTGGTCCAGGTTCCACCCGGAGCCATCTCTGTTGGAAGTCCCCACCAGTGGTTATTGACTCCTGTGTCAACAGTGGACAGTAACCATAGATCCATGCAGGAAGCCTGGGGGGTGTTGCTATGGAGCTCTCCCGGGAGGAGGGAGTACCTAAAGGACGAAGCTCGCTTGGTGGACAATGAGGGAGAACAGCATGGTTCTCGCTACCCCATATGACACTTCTGCACAGATGATAGAAAAGATGTCTCGAACTCAAGACATTTTACTGTCATCTGTCAGAAATTATTGATATGGATCTGTATTGTCTAGAACATCACTATGGCACCTTGTACTGTGCCCAACTTGCACAGCTGTACTTGGCGGCCCTGCAGCACCATGCGTGAAAGGATGTGTGAATTCTCTTCCTTTGTTGGATGCTGGGAAGTGTCAGGCAAAGAGCTTCTGTCCCCAGGGTCTCATTCTTTCCATTGGTAAAGTAGCAGCTCAAATGTCCTTCTAGCCCCAGGACTCTGAAGCTGGGATTCTATGGTTCCAAAGCCCCACCAGACTAAGACTCTGTTATTTAGCTCTAATCTTCTGTGAGTCTGGTTTTAAAGTCAAGCTACAAAAGATTCCCATCTCAAGTTTTTCCTTTTTTTTTTCGTGTGTGGGGGTATTAAGGATTGATCTCAGAGGCACTCGACCACGGAGCCCCATCTCCAGCCCTATTTTGTACTTTATTTAGAGACAGGGTCTCATTGAGTTGCTTAAGACCTCACTGTTGCTGAGGCTGGCTTTGAACTTGCGATCCTCCTGCCTCAGCCTCCCAAGAGCCGCTGGGAAGACAGGCGTGTGCCACCGTGCCTGGCCTAGCCTGAGTTTTCTAAGGTTTTGAAAAAACAGAACTGTGTTTTTTGATCATCAGAACTTTTATTTTATACATCTTCTTTTTTAAAAAAAATATATATATATATATTTAGTTGTAGTTGGACACAATACCTTTATTTTATTTATTCGTTTTTATGTGGTGCTGAGGATTGAAGCCAGCGCCTCGCTCGTGCTAGGTGAGTGCTCTACGCTGAGCCACAACCCCAGTCCCTATTTTATACTTCTCAGAAGAATTATTTTGGACTTATTTAGACAGCACAGTTTTCTTTTCAGTGTATCAATCTGGTGGGTCCTATAAAAAGAAAATATGCAAGAAATGTCACCCGTTAAGTTAGTCCTAAGACTTCTTTGCCGTCGTAGTGCAGAGCTCCTGGATTGCTTTCTACTCAGGACATCTTCATTTTCTCCCGGGCGCTAACCTGGGAAAACAGGGGCCTAGCAGCACGGCTGATGCAAGGCGCATCGCTGGCCAAAACAAACAGCAGACAGGACGGGAGGAAGGAAGAAAGTCATTATTTTTTATTTAATGTATTGTTTTGATAGCAAGTTGACGAACACGGAACATGTTGTCATCAAAACAGAACGTTTAAAATTAGAAGCAAAAATAAGCAATAAACCTGAAAGAAACCAGTGAAAAACAACACATCCAAAGGCCTCAGTGAGTGTCACCGGGGAGCAGTACCCCTGATGTCCCTGCCTCCGTCCCAGTTCCAACCAGCCCTCGAAATGGCAGCAGCTGGAAAATAGAGCCACCACATAACCCAGCTGTACCACTCCTCGGTATTTACCCTGGAGAATTAAAGTCACCTTACTACAGGGACACAAGAGTACCTATGTTAATAGCAGCACAAATCATGGTAGGCAAAGTATGAACCAGCCGAGGAGTCCATCACGGGGTGAATGGATAAAGAAAATGTGGTGTGCGTACACAATGGGGGTGGGGTTTTTCTGTTGTTTTTTTTTTATGGTACCAAAGATTGAACTCAGAGGCACTCCACTACTGAGCCCCACCCCCAGCCCTATTTTGTGTTTTATTTACAGACAGGGTCTCACTGAGCTGCTTAGGGCCTCGCTGTGGCTGAGGCTGGCTTTGAACTCACAATCTTCCTGCCTCAGCCTCCTGAGCTGCTGGGATGATAGGCATGCGCCACTGTGCCCGGCCAGAATGGGGTTTTATTGGGCCATAAGGAAGCACAAAATTAGGTCATTCATAGCAAAATGGATGGAACTGGAGAACATGATTTTGAGTGAGATAAGTCAGAATCAGAAAATTATCTTTATGTTGTTTATTTTTCCTCATTTGTGGAAATGAAGGAGAAAAAAAAAGGGATACCATAAAAGCAGCAGGGAGACCATTATGATGGAGGAAGGGGGCAGGGAGGGAGAGGGCAGGGAGAGGAAGGCGTCAGGGAATTGAGCAAATGATGTTTTATGTAGATGGGAGCAGGCTGCCACGAAACCCACCATCTGTATAAAATATGGGGTGATAAAAAAGGAGGGGGCCAGGGCTCAGAGCTAGAGCGCTTGCCCAGCACACGTGAGGCACAGGCTTCGATTCTCAGCACCACATAAAAAATAAAGTATTGAAAAAAAAAAGGAGATACATTAGAAAAAAGAAATATGGGACCAGCTCCCACCTGAAGCCGAGCTACAGAAACCAAAGATCAGTAACATTCTTGCCGTAAACTAAAACTTCCAGTTTCAATTTCATCAGGTGTTCAACTAAAAACAAATAAAGTGCTGTTGGGGGAGATCTTGGAGGAAGAGCTGGGATTGCAGGTGCCCACATGTCCCCCTTCTTGGGAGCTTCACCACGGTGGTTTTGCCCAGGCAGGGACTTTGCCCTGGACACCGGCCTCAGAGCTCCATGCTGCCATGTCTCAAGGCTCTCTTCCCAGGTCCCAGATCTTTGAGTGACAGGCCTCTGGGAGGACAAAGTATCGGAGTTACAGGACATCCGTTCCTATCCATGGTAAGAGAAGGCCACTCACAGTCTTTCAGGCACTGAGGTATGACCCAAGGACAGTGTGTGCCTAGGCTACGGGGACAAGGGGACCACTCCCGAAGAGATCAGTGGCACTGACCACTACTGAACAGACAGTGGATGCTGATGGACACACAGCAGCTGAGTTTCAGGGGAAATCCGTGGTTCTGGGGTGCCCCGGGCATTCTAAAGGGATGGGCATCTTGTTGAGAGTCACGTTGCCAGGACAACCTATCCCCTGGGGCTGATACCCAGGATCCAAGAGTGACAACCTGGATATCCAGCTAGGAATAGAGAGTCCACCTCCCTCTCCCCTCACCTCCTGCCCACTGTGGAGCCACCTCCTGCAGCCAATGTGCTGGAAACGGGGGGAAAGAGGCCCAAGCTCAGATTCCTGATGGAGCCTCTGTTTTTCCACCTGTTCGATGGAAGAGATGGTCATAAATCCTCAGAAGCAGCAGAGAAGAGTCAATGATCAGGTTGACCCTAACACTCAAGAGTCAAGTGCACAGTAACTGCATAAAGCAAGTGTAGTTATTGAAACAGCATCTGCATCATCTTCTCGAACATGCGAGCCGGGACGAGTTTTAGAATTGATGTGTTTTCTGCTACAGTGATACTTCATGCCTTTGACAGATACTGATCCAGGACCTTCTAAGTGCCAAGCACTTCTAAGTGTCTGCGATCTGGAGAAACAGGTTGGGGGAGAGGACGGAGGAGGCCCCCATTCTGGGTGTCGCCGGGCTGGTGATGCAGACAGGAAGGAGCTCTTTCATCTTCCTTGAAGTCACATCAAATTCCTGGACTGTGTGGTCCAGGGTCTAATCCATGTGTGAGTGGGGGAGGTTAGGGTTCCTCAAGGAGTTGACAGGCAGATTGAGTCCCGCATGGTGGGCTGAGCTGGAGGTCTGGGAGGAGAAGCCCCAACTCAGACATCAAAGAGCCATTCTGGTCCACCTTTCTTTGCCCTGATGCTGACAGCTGCCCGTTCTGTCTTCCAGACATCTCTGGAACTAGAACACTTCAATCCCTCCCTGGGCTGGCTAACCTGCCCTGGATTCTTTCTTTCTTATCTTTTTATTTGCTACTGGTGATTGAACACAGGGGCACCTGACCACGGAGCCAGGGAGCCACAATTCCCAGTCTCACTGAGTTGCTTAGCACCTCGCTGTTGCTGAGGCTGGCTTTGAACTCGAGATCTTCCTGCCTCAGCCTCCTGAATCGCTGAGATTGCAAGCATGCATCCCCACACCCGGCTGCCGCGGATTATTTCAACAACCTCCCAAATCATCTCCCTGTCTG